CTATCCTACATTAAACATTTATTGAAAACGAACACACAAGTATCATCAATTAATCACAGTGATCCCAATAAAACCGCAAGTTATTTTAAATAAGTTTCAAGATTTTGAACTAAGTAAGCTACTTAATATAAAAACAGGTGAAATTTATGTGTGTCTCAATACGATGATGTTTAGAAACATGTCGTGTACAAAAACCTTTAAAATGAATACGTGTTAATAATTTTCATATAAAATATCATAGCTAAGTACGAGTGTACTGTACGAATCAAATTATAACTTATAACGTTAAATAAAAATAATTTTGAATACAATATGTGGGATAAATAGTAATAATTTTTCAGGTTATTAAATCTGTTGTCTCAAAAATTATAAAATAAAAGCATACCTTGTGTATCAAACTTAAGACTTATCTGTATATAGTTTCTTATGATGTAAACAGGTAGTTAGGTATTCTCCAGACTAACAGAAGTGGATGCAGATGACTATGGCAGGAGAAGTCTTCGATATCAACCAAAAGAACGATTGTAATGTCAGGAACATTGTCTTAAGGTCATGTGGTAATTACTGAGTACCAGGTGGTAGTTACTGAGTACCATGTGGTAGTTACTGAGTACCATGTGGTAATTTTACTTAATATCATGTGGTACTTTTACTGAGTACCATGGGGTAGTTACTGAGTACCATGTGGTAATTACCTAATATCATGTGGTACTTTTACTCTATAAATAAAAAATAGTTCTCAGGACAGATACTAAATAAAAAAAACAACTTACGGTCTGAAAATCAGCTTTACATAAATATATTCAAACCATATGCCGATCCAAACCAGTAATTAAATACTCAAGTAAACGAAATGACAAACGGAAAATAACTGAAATAGAATTTAGTTAGATAGGGCTATATAAATGGCGGATAAACTTACAGTGATCATTCCAAGAAGAAACCAAACAAATACGATCTATACTCTGAATTGCATACTTTACAAGGTTTTCAAATCTCCAAATCGGATACCCATGCAATCGAAATCGAAAAGTGGATTCAGAGTGCTTTTCACTGGAAAATTTGTCGGACGCCGAAACGCGTCTTCTTCAGATCCAAATTCCCAGGAAAAAAAGACCTTCCTCTCAGTTTCAGAAACGAAAACAAAAAAACCCTATTCACCACAGACAAAATGAGAGAAAAAAGTGATATCATATGATCGAAATCATTAGAACAGAAAATCGCAATCCACAGCGACGTGAGATTGGGACAAGTGAAATGCAATTAAGGAAGTTTGGCATATGGCGAATAGATGGCGCTAATAAACAAGACAAGTAAACTGTAAGAAATGAAGTTTGACATCTAGCGAATAGATGCGCTAATAAAAATTAAATATCGAAAAACAAGTGAAGCCTGCTTTAACAAATGGAGTTTGGTATCTTTGGCATCTAACAAATAGATGGCGCCAATAGAAATTTAAATAAAAATAGATTTTTAAATTACCAATTTTATTAAAGGAAATAAAAATGCTACACTGCCCCCTCCAAAAAAAAGAAAGGCCCTCAAAGAGGACTTTCGCCGAAACAACACTAAGGAAAACTAATTAGGGTGGTACATGTTTTAGTTTTTAAATTAAAATTGGTGGATGATAGCTTCGTGTATCACACGTCCATAAAAGAGTCACAATTGGTAAGTCGCAATCGGTATGTCAAATCAGGGAAGGTTACACAATCGGGAAAGTCAAAATCACCATAATCAAAAAAGAAACAAAATCATATGCAAGAAATATATGACGATAAAACAAGGCTAACTTAAAACTGAAAAGGTATGGGATAGGAAAAGAAAAAAGAATGCCATGGAAGCGCAGATGTTTCTGAAGATTAACTGGTTAACCACTCAAGGTAACTCACCTGTATGAGAAAAAGAAGGAAAATTACAATAGAAAACACAATAGAAAGGCACAAAGAAAGAGAAAAAAAATATTGTCACTAATGACCCAAAATAACCGTAACATAGGATTCCAGTCTATGAAACGCTATTGCAAATATGGAAGAAGGAATGCAAATAACCTCAAAACACAGTAAAACTTACGAAGTCCTGAGGTTAGCTACGTCTCACTTCTAGGTTGCAATCAAAACCATAACAACTTTTCGTGTTATCACGAAGTCGTGTTCTCAAAATACAAGAATTGCTTAAATTTCAGATTCTTGTGAACTGAATGTCATAGAATGGAGCAAATGGCACAAAACCATATGAGTGATTAACAGAATTACCATCCCACAAAATATTTACTCAAAATTAGGTAATCTGTAGAATACTCGGAAAAAGAAAAATACTGCTATATGCTCGCATTTCTAAATAGAAATACTATATCATACTGAAAATATATAAAAAACTAAATAACACGTAGTTATGTGCTGATTCGCGACAAATCCGTAAAAGCGATAAACGTTGTTGTATAACTTTTTAATATAAACTAAAAAACTAAAATATAATCTATGTATCCTTTAGACTAAACCCTAAAAAGGAATCGGACTTAATAGATTATTTAAATTACTGTGACTTAGTAGAGACAAAGAGAAGAGCGAGAGCATAAAACAGACCAAGAGATATATACCGAAACCTTGTGAACAGGAGACGAAATCCGTGGATACCATTCCACTAGTATACAAAAGTCTTTAAAGAATGGAAAAGAGGTGGCCAAGAGGGAGTATATGCGGAAATCATTAAACAAAAAGACGGAGAGAAGAACTGTCTTTTAAGCAGATGTTAAAAACTTATGAGTTTATTACTTATGCGCAGTGCTTAAATGGGTTCAGGTTCCATAGATATCTTGGAAAACAGGGTGGGAGGTTGGATCTATATATGTTCAATAATATTTTCCGGATCTCGTATATAGCTGGGTACCGGAGGTATTGGGTTGCACAACAGGGGGCTTTCCAAGCGAAATGGATCCTCCACTTAAGACCATTACACGAGGGGGAAGGATTGGGTTCGGGAGGTGGTGGGCCAACGGAGGGCAAAGACACTAAAATGAGTCGCCGCTATGGAAGTATACTGAGGAACTTAATTGAAGAGGAATACTCCAGCTACGAAGAAGAAGAAGAGCAGAATGGTTTTAGAAGCGGAAGATCATGTATAGATAATATCTTTGCATTGAAACAGATCATCGAGAAGAAAACTGCCTGGCAATAAAGTTCAATATAGGGACATTCATCGATCCTACCAAAAAAAGCATATGATACAGTGCCAATAATAAAGTTATGGGAAGTATATGCAAAAACAAGGTCAGAACGAGCGAGCTATGAGGGAGGTGGACAAAGCTGAATATATATCAGATACCCCGTTTGGTCACCACTTGGGTCACGGGGTCAATGTCACCTGTCATCTTGATCCAAACGTTTCTAGATCAAACGTCATCTGTCAAATGTCAAACCTGTCATCTGTCAAACGTCAAACGTCAAATGTCAAACGTCAAATGTCAAACCTGTCTTACGTCATCTGTCAAACGTCAAACCTGTCTTACGTCATCTGTCAAACGTCAAACGTCAAACCTGTCTTACGTCAATCGTCAAACGTCAAATGTCAAACGTCAAATCTATCTTACGTCATACCCCATTTCTATTACGTATTTATCCATTCTCTTATAATAATAATATTAGGTATGGATGCCAAAAGGGCCACAGGTGAAAGATCGTTATCAGCCGGGGTGGCAATGCCACTTTTTTCACCCTGTGCGCATATTTTTCTCATACGGTTTAGCTGAAAAACACGTTTTGATCGGTTCGCCCAGGGGCCTTAATTAAAAGTTTGCGCAAACCTATAAGTGTTATATATTTTTGGAATCGACACACTGCAAGGAGTTTGAATTTCAATAAATAATACCGATTTTCGTAGATTTCTTAATTACTAAATCCCTTATGGTTTACTAGGAATATTTAAGATCAATTTTTGCGATAAATATTTAAGTAAAATAACATAAATCAAACTTAGTGAAAAATACATTGTGCAACAATTATTGCTTATCAGAGTTTGCGGTCGGCATTATTTTTAATCGGACTTTGCAGTTTCCGGTATGATGACTATGATGTTACGCATTTGTTTTTCTAGAAAATTCTAGATCAATTTTTGTGATAAATATTTAAGTAAAAATAAAATAAATCAAACTTGATGCAACATAATTAATACATCGTGTAGCAACTAGCGCTTATCAGTTTGCGGTTTTCCGGTCTAGCATTGTACCCAGCAAACAACTCGCAATTTATGTCAGTCTCTACCTACCTCTCGTCGAAATTAGTCGATTCGCTCTCTAAAAAAATAAAAAATGTTTCTATGCAGCATTTGTGGCAAAGTGTTTACTAGGAAAGATAACCTATCCAGGCATATGAAGAGATGCGCTAATGGTGAGTTTTTTATTTATTATTTATTTTTCAAAAATTTTAAATGTAATTGTTTTTTAGTTAAACAAACTGCGGGAAGTGTTGCGCCTAAAACCAGCGCGAACGACAGTGCTGGCCCTAGTAAACGTAAGTAAATATTTTTATTTTATGTTCTGGCTTTAAAAAACGCTTTTTTTAGATACGTGCGAAAAATGTTCGAAAGCGTTCAGCAGAAGTTACAGTTTAGGCAGGCATATGAAGAGATGCGCTAATGGTGAGTTTTTTATTTATTATTTATTTTTCAAAAATTTTCTAAATATAATTGTTTTTTCTATTTTATTTTAGTCAATCTGCCTGAACCAAAAAATTTAGAGAAGACCTCCCTAAAAAGAACGAGCTCTGCCACTAACAGTAAGTAATTATATTTTTTTTCATTACTTTTTAAACTAATTAACTATTTAATTATTTTTTAACATATTTTTCTATTATTTTTTTAACTTTTTCCATTATTTTTAAATTAATTAACTATTTAATTATTTTTTTAACATATTCAACTATTATTTTGAACTTTTTTCAATTATTTTAAACTAATTAACTATTTAACATATATTTCTATTATTTTTAACAGAAAGCACCTATTTTATATTAAATATTTTTTTCTTTTATTTTAGTCGATCAGACAGAGCCAGAGTCTTCGACGCCAAAGAGAGCTTGACTTGGTTTCCATAACGGTAAGTTATTATTATTTTTTTTATTGCTTAACACCTTTTAAATTAAAATGTGTTTTTTTAGAACACTTGGTAATGCAGGAGGAAGGTGTTTACCTTGTAAATACCGCATATAAAAACCGAATTGCTACATACCGGCTTTTATCAAATAAAAACATTACCAGCGTTAATGATTTTTTTAATAATCTCCGCAAAAAATCATTGCGGTGGTAAAGTGCCAAATCGAAAGATTTGGTAATGTGAAAGTTGGTATGGAGCTTTTCGGACGTTTCCTCCTGCAGACAAAGGAGGTGCAAGAGACCAAGTCCTTTGGCTGTCGCTTCAGGGAGGCTAGCCAAGGCACCGATTTGGAGGAGTTGTTTGATCAGTTCACCACTATCATTAAGCGGAGATTCCAGGAGTTCAATGAAAAAGTTAGTGGTAAGTATATATTTTTTCTGTTTTTCACCATACTAATTATTTTTTCGTGTACATTAGGTTGGACTCTTACATACCATTACCGAAGGAAATAGAAGCGAAAAAAGCTGTATTGAACATACAAAACACTGACCAGAAATGTTTTGTATGGTCGGTTTTAGCCGCCTTTCACCCAGTTCCCCGAACTCAGAACGCCAACCGAGTTCAGAATTATGAATCTTTCGAGCAGGAATTGGATGTGTCAGGTATAGATTTTCCGATATCTTTGAAACAGGTGTCAAAATTCGAACAACTCAATAATATTTCTATTAATGTTTATGGACTCGAGAAGGGTTATAAACATGATAGGAATATTATTGAAGTTGTTGGTCCTTTGTATTTTACTAGATCTCATAAGGCAGATAGACATGTGAATTTGTTATTAATCAGTGATGATTCTGGCAATAATCATTACTGTTATTAAGAAATATGTCTCGCCTAATCTCCAACCAACTTTCAGGCAAACAACATTCAAAATTCTTATGCGATGGTTGCTTAGTTTATTTTTCTTCAGATATTAAATTAGAAAATCATCAAAAATAGGATTGTGGTCATGTTGTAGTTGAAACTCCTTCGGATAATTTAAAGAAAAATAAATATGGTGAAAATATTCCCGAGAATATCCTTAAATTTACGAATTTCGAACGAAAATTAAAAGTGCCTTTTGTTGTATACGCTGATTTTGAAACTATTTTGGAACCTATACAAACAGAGCAAAACGAGTTGGATCCTGAAATTTCCTATACGGTGAAAACACACCAACACGTTCCTTATTCTTTTGCCTATTACATTAAATGCGATTTTGATAATTCTCAGTCGATTTTCAAGACTTTTAGAGGACCTGATGCACATAAAGTTTTCATAGATTGGTTAGAGACTGATTGTAAATCAATCTACAATCGATTTATGAAAAATATTGTATCCATGTCTCCTCAGTAGCGCACAAGAAGCCGAGTTTTATCAGATGACGCATTGTCATATTTGTGAATCTCCTTTTAATGTAGAAGATGAAAGAGTAAGGGACTACTGTCATCTAACAGGAAATTATCGAGGTGCGGCTCACTCTGTTTGTAACCTAAATTTTAAAGTACCTAATTTTATTCCTGTGTTCTTCCACAACATGTCAAATTTTGACAGCCATCTTTTTATAAAAGAATTGGCTGTGGAGGAAGAACGATTGGACGTCATTCCCCAAAATAAAGAAAGATATATTTCTTTTACAAAATATATTATGGTGGGGGATGATGACGGCCAGGAAATGCGACAACAAAAGACACTTTTAAAACTAAGATTTTTGGATAGTTTCCGTTTCATGGCATCAAGTCTAGATAAACTAAGTCAAAATTTAACATCGCAACAGTGTCGTGAAGTTAGAAAGTTTTTCCCTAACGAAGAAGAATTTAAGGTTATTCGTATGAAGGGTGTTTTCCCATATTCGTACGTAGATTCCTTTTCCAAATTAGACGATACCAAGCTTCCACCCATTGATGGCTTCTATAACGAACTTAGAAAAGAAGCCATCAAACAAGGAGATTACGAGCGTGCATTGAACGTATGGAATTTATTTAAATGTCAAACTTTAGGCGAAAGTAGTATATCTGGCGGGGTTCTGGGCAGATTTGACCTTTTTTTGATATCCAGTTTGACATCTAGCGAATAGATGCGCTAATAAAAATTAAATATCGAAACAAGTGACCTGTAACAAATGGAGTTTGGTATCTTTGGCATCTAGCAAATAGATGGCGCCAATACTAAGAAATTTAAATAAAAATAGATTTTTAAATTCAATTTTATTAAAGGAAATAAAAAATGCTACAATAGGATGATGGGTTTGAAGCGGCGGACTACTGCGCGTGTCTTAACTTGTTGTGCGAATAGGTCACGTAATTTTTCTTAATAGTTTTAATAAGTTGACAGTGACGTAATTTACGTGTGGCTGTTGATGAGGTGTTAAAAAAAATGGTGATATGTAAATATTAGGTTAAATAAAAAACAATTGTGACATTAATTTTTGTTTGTTCGTTAATGAGAAAGAGAGAGAGAGAGAGATAGATGAGCGTGACGTAACTTAGGCCCAGCGTGGTGCCGTGCGGATCAATACGGTATAAGTGATATTTATGGGTAGATAGGTAGGTTTAAATAAAACTCATTGTTTATTGAAAAGACCACATCTATTTTTTTTTCTTTTTAGGTTACAATTATATTTCTTAAGAATGAAGCAAAACACAAAAATACATATCTTAAAATACAGAAATTACTCAGTAGGTAGATAGGTAGGTAGCTAGGTAGGTAGGTAGGTAGGTAGTTTAATTCCTAATATTAGAGAATGGATAGAGAGGCCATATGGTGAAGTAGATTATTATACCACCCAGGCCCTGTCGGGCCATGGGTGTTTCAAAAGTTATCTATTTAATCGAACGAAATCACCAACAAACCACTGTGTATACTGTAACGAGTTAGATGATGCTCAACATACCTTGTTCGAATGTCCAAGATGGTCGGTGCTAAGACATCAGTACTATATAGCTATGAGCATTCCTTTTACAGCAGAAACTATGATGCCTGAAAGGAGGAGAAAAAAACTGGACTCTGGCCTATACAGTGATAAGAGGAATCATAAAAACTAAAGAGGAAGAAGCACGTAGAAATACGTACAGTCCTCACGTCGAAGAAATGCGAAAGCGCTACCGGCGTGATGTGTCGTAGAGAAGGGGAGGTGGTTTTAATCAGTAGGAATCTGACACTCCGTCTTATGCAAGATTTGCTCCTCCTCTATAAAAAAAGGTAGGTAGGTAGGTTCAAATAAAACTAATTGTTTAGTGAAAGGGCCACTTCTGTTTTCCTTTCTAAGATACAGATATATTTCTTAAGAGGAAATCAAACACAAAAAACAGATTCCTATAACTATATGAAAACAATATAAAATTATCTTACATATATTTACATTTTAGAAGAAAATTCAACTTTCAGGCATACTTTCCCTACAGTATAAATCGTTTTTTACAAATTGTGAATATAAACCATCAACAAAATTGTGTTTACTTATCGATCTAGAGCAAAAACAAAAATAATGTTTACATGTGTTACAATATCTTGTGCCTCCACAATTAACATACTGAGAAGAATTCTGAAATTAAAAAAAATGTTTCAGGTTTTAGTGTCAGTGTAAAGGTAATTTACAATCCTTTTGTCATCTGATGGATTTAAAGATACTTTTTTTTTCTGATAGATAGTGTAAACTTCATGTTTAATTGCAAAAACAAAAATAATGTTTACATGTGTTACAATAGCTTATGCCTCCGCAATTAATATATTGAAGAGAATTCTGAAATTTAAAAAATGTTTGAGGTTTTAGTAATTAATACTATAGCCCCATGGTTTAGTGTCAGTGTAAAGGTAATTACAATCCTTTTATCATCTGATGGATTTAAAGCTACTTTTTTCTGATCGATAGTGTACACTTCATGTTTAATTGATTTGATTAATTTTTGAGAGCACTCAGTAACTTGATAGTAGTCATCAAATGCGATTGTATTTAAAGCGCTGGACTTTATTCCCTTTGCTTTTTTGTGTTCTTTTAAACTATTATTATTTCCAATAATTTTATATGTATACATTTTGGAACGTAATCCAATAAATTCTGACATTATTTTTCCGTTGTTTTCATCCTTCATCAAACCAATTACTTTTTTATTTTTCAGAGGTATACCAAAAATATTATTTTCATCATAATCAGAAGTATCAAATTTATGTATATCTTCTTTTATATGAATATAGTTGTTATCAACAAAAAAATGATAAATCAAGGAATCCGTATCAGTATATAACAATTTTGCACAATCCCCAATTTTTTTTTTATATAATTGTAGTGAAAATCATACACTATTGTTTTTGATATGTCAAGAATTGAAAAACCTGCATAAATGGGTTTGTTAAAAGTTATATTTAATTTTGACATTTCAATTAGAACCATGTTATCATCAAAAATTGTGCGGCTATGAATAATTTACACCATAACGACCTGACCACCTCGTAACTAATTTAACATCTTTGTACTTACGCACATTTTCCATGGCCTTACCAAAATTTGCATTGTTTATTAACTTATAAAAATTTTTATCATGTTCATTTCTACTTTGTTTTCGCAATTCGGTATTTAAATAACCCCCATAGAACCCCCATAAACTGATTATTTGCTTTTCCATATCTGTTCGAACATTGTGAAATTCCCCCTCGTATACCTCGTTTAATAAACATAAACATATCAGGATCTGTTAGTAATTCTAGTTCAGTGTTTGTCATTTTTAAAAAGGCATCAAAGGCTAATGATGGTGTTGTAACATAATGTAAACAATCAAGTTTGTAGGTTGATAAACAAGTTGAACGAAAATTTTCAAATATATCTGCTAGTAAAAGAACATCGGTTTTTAAATACAATTCCATGTATTCTTTTAAATTGTGAATTTTGAAAGTATTCCAAATATTGATTGCGTGATTATAATCATCATCAGAAATATTTTGATTATTCAAAGAACTATAAAATTTTTCTTTTTCGGGTAAATGTTCGTCTTCAAGTTTTTTCCAAGTATCTAAATATTCGTAAGGAAATACTCCTTTTCGAGTTAATAAATGAAATTCGGAATTATTTGAATAAAAACTTTTAGTCAGTGGCGGCTGGTACTAAAGGGCA